GTATAGCGCGGCTGGGCCGGGACGGGGTGTCCAACACGGGCGTCATGTTCCCCTCGGCGCCGCGCGCGGGTGCTGCTGGGCCCAGCGCTAGCGTGGGGGGACCGAGCCCCAACGAGCTCCATCTCGAGCACACAGGGCCCCTGCGCCCTCGAGGAGTTCTCCAGGTGTCTCTGTCGGTCCCGACGATAATAACACATTTCTCCTCTAAAGCCATCAGTGGAGGAGTTTTCATTTTAAATTACACTGCGAAAGATCATAAAAAGAGCTTTCGTGACTCACTGTTCTCCAGACTATGAGCTAATGCTATAATTTACCAACGATGTGTCAAAAAAGTTGGTACCCTTTAAAAAAGAAAAAAAGAAAAGAAAGAAAACAGCTTGCAAGCCTCGCTTGTTCGAAGGAGACACTTGTGTCTGGTCGGGAGGTGGGCTCAGCCTGCACTTTGGGGTGCAGATCACGATGGGGTTTGGGGTGGTGCCAAAGGCTGCTGGTGTCCAACGTGGGCTGCTCCCCAAAGCATTTCATAGCGAGGCCTCGGGCGCATTGTCCTGGCTGCTGTGTTGTGCTGAGAGGATTCCAGAGGGTCCTGATCCCAGAACTGGTTCCCGGTGCCCTAGGCTGCTGCCATCTGCCCTGGTGGGATAGCTCGGGATGCTGTGGGATGCTCACAGCGCCGCTGCCTCCTTCTCTTCCAGCTGAGCGTCGCCGTGTGCCTGGGCTTCCTGGCTGCCTGGACCCCTTACGCCATCGTGGCCCTCTGGGCGGCCCTGGGAGACGCCAGCCGGGTGCCGGCTCTGGCCTTCGTGCTCTCGGCCGCCTTTGCCAAGTCCTCCACGCTCTACAACCCGCTCGTGTACCTGCTCTTCAAGCCCAGCTTCCACAGGTTCCTCTCCAGGGATGCCCCGCGGCTCGGGGCTGTGCTGTGCTGCGGCTGGCCCCCCCCGGGCGGCCCGCCGCCGGCCGGGGTGGAGGCGCCTGCCAGCCCGGCCTGAGGCGCTCGGTGCAGCTCATGGTGCTGCTCACCAGGCCCAGGCCAGGCCGGGCCGCCACGAGCGCCGCGCACAAAGGGCCGCCCTCCGACATCGCCAGAGACCTTCTCTGAGCACCCGGAGAGCCCCGCGGCGCCGGGGCCTTGGGCACCGGCTCTGTCCTAGCGGCATATTGGGGAAAAATAACCCAAATGCAACATTTCTCTCATCTATGTATCCCACAGGTCCCAAGCACCTTCTGCAGATTGACATGAGAATTTAAGACCAACTTTGCCTCCCCTTCCAGTCTGGCTCTCTCTATTTGGAGCCGATTATTTGCACTTGCAAAAAAACAGACCCCAGTGCCTGAAATCTGACTAGGGCGCAATTCCCGGCTGCAGTTTTGCTGCCATTGGTTCTTAAGGCCCTTGGCCTTTGCTTTTCCATCCTGGTGCTCTGATGGCCAAGCACGAGCTTGGTCCTCTACAGGAATGGTGTCTAGCAGGGAGATGGGCCTGGAAGCCCACAGGGCAATCCCAGCTCCAACACCAACTCCTATGGCCTCAGTTGACCACCTCCTCTCCCACCCGGGAGTGGGATAACGCCATTCAGCTACCTCACTTGGGATTAGGAAGTATTTTTATATACCTCACAAGAGACTACTCTCTGTGTGGGCTGCATTGCCCCGCTCCCTCGGTTGGAGTGCAGCCCCAGTGCAATCCTATTCATCTAAATGGGAGCTTGTCTTTAAAGCAAGGATCTGAGGTTAAAATCATCCCAGTGCAAGTAATGCCAGCCCCCTAGCATGGCTCTGCAGGCAGGGAGTGGCAAAACTGTGGCTGAGCAGCATCCTGGAGAGAGGCCCACAGTCCTGGGGTGGCTCCTGGGGAGCCTGGGGACATCTTGCAGCACCCACACTAGCACACAGGGACCGGGGGCCGGGAGAGCAGCAAGCAGTTCACTTGCAGGTCATAGAATCACAGAATCCTTAAGGTTGGAAGGGACCTCTCGAGGTCATCTAGTCCAACCCCCTGCACACGCAGGGTCACCTAGAGCACGTGGCACAGGGCTGCGTCCAAGCCGGGTTTGAAGATCTCCAGAGAAGGAGACTCCACAACCTCTCTGGGCAGCCTGTTCCAGGTGTCATTTCAAGATCGGTTCCGAGCTGGGAGATCCAGGACACGAGCTGTGCCCAGCTGGGCAGCGTGGACCATGCCCAGGGCGTGAAGCAGAGTGGGAGGATGAGCTGAGGTGGCTGAATCTCCTGGGGCCGGGCTGGCAGTGGTGGCAACGCTGCAAAACATCATGGGGACCTTGCAGGACTCGTTCTCAGAGCGACGAGCAGACAGCAGCAAGGGAGAACAGTATGTGGGGGACGAGGTATGCTTTTGAATGCACAGAAAAAGTGCATTTTGGAATGAAAGCCTGCCCCAGCCGAGGAGAAGGAAGGTGCCCCAAGGGTGGCATGAGGAAACCGCTGGCCTCTGTGTTGCTGTGGAGTGTTCATCATCCCTCAGAAATGGTACATTTTAGAAATAAATTCACTCATGCCAACCTTGCTGTGAACTCAATCCAGTTCCGTGCTAGCCCAGCAGCTGCACTCGGGAGCTATCGGGAGCGCTCCCGTCCCCGGGGCCTCGGGGACGAGCGGGCAGGATCCCCGGGGCAGTGACACTGGGTCACCCTGGGGGAATGGCCTGGGCCTGCAAACCTCTCCTGACAACCAAGGCCCTCTCCTGACAACCGATGCCCTCCCCCGGCAGCCGCTCCGGCCCCGGCCGCCCTGTGGCACTGAGGAAACAGCCCGGGGAACATTCCCTTCCCTCTGGGGTGGGCACCAAGCGGTGCCGCGCGGGCAGGGCTGCCCCAGGGCTCGAGGGGCAGGAGGACCAAGGGCTGCTGCTGTCTCCTGGGGGCTCTGTGCCCTTAGGGCCTGGTCACCGGCCCGGCCAGGCCATGTGCCCTGTGGCCTGGCCATGGCCTGCGGGCAGCCTCCTGGGGGCTAAGAGCCCCTGTCTCCTGTCGGCTAAACAGATATGGTGCCACGGAGCAGACCTAGAAGAGGCAGGAGAGAAGAACCCGCGAGTACCCTCGGTCCATCAGGATACCCTGAATCCCTATTTTTGCTTTTAATTCAGTGCAAGAACAGCGATGCTGAGAGCATTTGGAGCAATACAGAGGCAGCTGGGGATGGGCAGCCAGCGCACTGCACACCAGAACCAGCCCAAGGAACCGGGTTTGGGAGTCCCCAGCTGGAGGGTGGCAGGGGGCTGATGGAGGCCAGGGAGGCCCCTGCCCTTTGCCAGGCAGCCCTGGCAGGGGCTGGTGCCACGGGCAGGGGCTGCAGGTGTCCCCAGGGTGTCCCCAGCCCCGCAGCACCCCCAGCCCAAGCTGGGCCACAGGGCTGATGATCAAAACAATGATCAAATTTCACGTTTCACACCAAACTGGCTGATGTACTACAAAAATGACATGTAAAATGCAAGCACCAGAGCATTTCAGGAGCACCTTACCCCTGCAGGAGGGTGGTGAGGATGAGACAACTGCCCAGCCTTATTTCCCTGATATAGCAAGCACATTACACACTTTCTGCAGTCTCAGTGTAGCTGCTTTTTAATAAAACAGTCCCAGGTCCCTTTGGCTTAACTGCCTCCAAATGATTTAATTAATTCTAGCTGCATCAATTAATTGCATTGATTTAACGTACAAACCAGCTTTGGGCCAGCAGCTGCGGAGCGGGCGCCGGGTCACGGTGGCGAGAGGCTGGTGGAGGGACGGGGACAGACTGGGCCACGGGCACCCGCCAGCAGCCTCCTACCCCTGGGGCGCTTCCTGCCTCGATGACGGGGTGAAATAAACCTGTGTCTGCAGGTAGGGTTGTGACTTTAAAAAAAAATAACGTTTTTGTTGTGATTAAACCACAGAGCCGGAGCTCCAGGAGCTGCTCCCCTTCTCCGCTGGCCTTTGCGATCTGCAGCCACGGCACCTTGTCGCAGGGAATGTGGGACAGGCCAGAAAAGGTGGAAAAACAATTTGTGGGAGGCTTTGTGCTGCCAGCGGTAGGATCCCAAGTTCCCCCTTCCTGTCCTTGGCACAGCTCTGTAGTTGTGGAGAGCAAACCTCAGGATTTGCAGCTGGGCAGCCCATTAATAACATCTGCATTTGTCCATAATTAATAACATCTGTGTTTGGCTTCCTGGTGGGTCTGTATTTAAGAAAGCAGAAAAGTGAAGTTCATGTTACAGTTGCAAAGATTTGCATGCGTTACCAGGCTAGGACAGGGCTGCTGGTGCTTGTGAGGGAGGATTTGAGTTTAAATTTATTTTGCTGAAGTATAAAATGATCTAAAGTAATTTCAAGATAATTCAATAAAGGGAAGGATGAAGTAGTATGCTTAGGAAAGTAAAATTCAGGGAAGAAAATAGAAAATGACTGTCATAGAAAAGTCAAGGTATTTATAAGTGAATGTAAAAATCAGTGACCTGTTACAGTATGGATTTCTTCTGTGGTCTCCAAAATATCCAAATAACGCATAATTTATCAAGGGACAACAAATAAGTCTTAACTCCAAGTTTTGATAATATATTACACACTTTCTTAAGCTTTAGTATAGTTACTTTTTAAGTAAAACAAGCCAGACCAATATAATTGCTTCAAAGTGATTTCATTAATTCTAGCTGTTTGTCAGTTAATTGCTTCACTTTAATATATATGTGTGTATATATATATAAATTTCAGCAAACAACTCTCAAAATACCTGTCAATGTATTTTCTCAAATGGCCAGGAGAGGGCAGGAAACTATCAATTTATCTTGAAGGAAGTTACCCCCGTGGTTGTTCTTCAGTAAGACTTTTCATCCTGTTCACAAATCACTGCTTTCACCAGAATAACGAAATAAATTAGTGGCTATTTTGTATCTCAGCATGTGTCAGCTATCCCTAAAACCACTGGAATCACATCTGGAGCACCCAGCCAATGCACACAGAGCCTGTGGGGACAAAGAAGCTCCTAGAAACCTTCCCCACTTCCATCAGCTCCTGGACTGGACAAGAAAACGTGGTTAGAGGAGGTCAGTCCAACACAGTGGCCCCCGTTCCGGCCGGCACATGTGACTTATCTAGTGCAGGACAAGGACGGAAGAGCTGGACAATGCCTGCTTGTCTCCTGCAGATAAACAGCAGGAACACCAGGGAAAACGCTCTGCGGCCCTGGAGCCTCCGGCCTTGACAGCACAGACTGATCTCGCTGGGTGGAATTTGCCCTTCTATCAAAGAAATGTCCTTGCTTGCACTGGACAAGCGTTATTTTAATGCACAATTTAGACACATCCACATTCCACATAGTACTAGAGTTTGGATTTGTGCATCTTAAATGACCAAATCCAGAAGCCTATCGGGACTGATGAGTAACAAAAACGTAATTAAATCTATAGTTACCAAGAAAAAAAGAACGTCTGTGTGATTTTTATATCCATTCTCTTTCCTAAGGAGGAAACAAGCAGCAATTCTTTTCTGGTCAACACCAGAAATCCAAGTTCATGCCTCACCCAGACTCCCTGCAGCACATGTTTCAGCTCTGCACGGTTCCATGCTATTGGCACACACAAGGAAGGAGATGTTTTGGGCTGGATTAGCAGAGACGTTCCTTGAAGCACCAGGAAAGAACCAGGAAGAGCAGAGCCCTGTGGAGAGAGGCACTGTTCTGAAAAACTGCTCAGACAACACAGACTTTGGATTCACAAACATATTCTTAACCTTTTACTAAACTTTTGTAACAAAACCAAACCAAAAATATTATTTTCAGAAACGATTATGTACACACACATGCTTGATTTACACCCGAAATTGCAATATCAAATTTCAACAGTGAAAATGCTACCGAGACAATTAAGACTGGCAGTGTGACAAAACGCCTGCATATGTAACCAAGACAAATGTATAAGAAATAAATACATGTATTTAGGTGTGTGAAGTTTTGAGGGAACTCACTGTGCCACATAGAAAAACTGAAATGAGGCTGATGATCTTGAAACTGCAGGAGGAAAAAAACAAACAAGCAGGACAACTTAATGAAAATTGGCACTTTCCCAATCATGAATGCTTCAGCAATGTGCTTGTGACTTCTTGAGAAATTCCTGAGAATTCCCTTCATGAATTTACACATAACAGAAGTAGCTGCTTCAAAACATTTGAAGCCAAAGTGCTAGACAGGAAGCAACCACCAATTATAGAAACCTAAATACAACTAGTTGAAAGCAAATAAAATGTTTAAAAAATATATATTACAAAAGCGGTTGTGCACTTTGTCATATAACATCCTCCCCCCAAATCATGCCAGTCAGTACTGTGGATTACGCTATTTCAGAATGAAAAAGAAAACCCACAGAACAGAAACCCAGAAGCTTTTGAATTCCCAAACCACTAGTTTTAAGAGGTGCTTCCTTATATGTGCAGCATCTGCTTCTTGTCAAGGTAATTATTATCTATTTTGGATTTGTAACGTGCAAAATCTATAGATTATAGATTAATTCCTGACATTCTCTTACTGGTGCTGAAGCAAATTCACAGTACAGACCATCAAGACTCTTCATGCTGTGAATGAGCATTAGAAAAGGTAAAGTGCAATTCATCCTGTTTTGAGAGTCACCCAGTGAACTCTGTACTTCAGCATAGATTACAGCATATTTCACACTAGGAAGATCCACATTAAACAATGTCTTTAGTTCAAGGTGGGTAATTCCGCTTTTTAATAGGCTGTATGAAATCCACTCTGCTGTAAAATCTGAAAAATTCTGGCTTCAGTCCAGCTTCTGACAGTGTTAAGAAGGTCTCAGTCACTTACTAGTACTATCAAGAACAGCAGATCTTTTTGATATCTAAACATGGCACAAGTCTGAAATCAGAAGGTTCATTCCGAATGTTCCAGGTTTGTGCAGTGCAACTCGTGTTACTTAAATCCAGTCATCGATGTCCTAATGATAAACTCCCTTCCCCAGTTTGCTATAGCAGCTCTTGCTCATCATCTTCAGATCCTGAGGGTCCTTGTCGTACTTCTTCATACCATTTGTTTGTGAGGGTTTTCATCTGTATGCGCCCATGATGCAAGTCCTAGGGCAAAATAAAACCAGAACACTTGTTATGTAGCTGCAATACTATTTGTATATTGGAGAGAACAAGAGGGAAAGACTAGTTTAACATATGTCTCAAGAAATAATCTGATCCTGAGTGTGCAAAACATTTTGGTTCTTACCAGGAAATACTAAATACTCAATCCATGAGATTTTCACTTGTGTTTTTCTAGACAGTGATGCTCTGTGAGTTTCAACAATCACAACACTGTCTGGATGGCCTATCTTTGAACCTCACTCCCCTCTACACGTCTCTGGAGACAGTGGGAAGATTGTGGCCTGTTCTGGTGAGTCACATACTCAGTTTTCTAGCCTTTGGCTGCAATCTGGATGGCAGGCTGTGTTTCTGACTAGCCAAGTATGAATCCAGTGCTTGCTCTGGTTTCTTGCTTCTTTTTGGTTTTGCAAAAAAACTCCTTTTGGCTTTTGTGTGAAAGTGCTGAAAGCACATCCTGTAATTGTTTTGGAAAGAAGTCTGTCTGAGCAGGCTAGGAAGCTGGAATGAGCATACTTTAGACAAAATGATCAATTCCACAGCTAAAATGCGGAAATTTATGGTGAATTGGGAAAACATTGAAGTCTGTGGCTAAGTAATCTCAGATTTCTAAAGGCCTGGATTGAAAACAGCACAGAATTTTCACCTCTCAGAACCCCTGAGCATTAAGTTATCTTCATATTCAGCCAGCCATCACCCTCTATTCACAGCTTTTAAGTCTGTCTCCCAGTGAGGAAGCCTGGGAAGCAAAGGTTGCAACCCTAGTGCAAACTTCCAAGATAAAATGTACACACTGCAGAAAACTAACAGCTGAAAAATTCACAGGACTTTGAACAGCAAGTGGAAGCAACAGTTTGTGTGACAGCACTTTGAAACTGCATGGCAGGAGATCCTTCTAGTAATTTTGGCTTTAGAAGCTCTATGAGGCACAATTTTAGGCTGAGTTGCCAAGCTCCTGATAATGCAACGTGGTTGGTAGTAGTCTGTAAGATTAAAGCTGAATCAGTACACCAATAAACACTTTAAAATTTAATTGTGGTAGCCCTGAGAGGTGTTCAATTAATTCTACTGCAATTTTACAGTACAACTTTACATATCCACATGTAATATTACATGCCTTGCTGCTCCCAATGCAGAAGTTGCATGGCTGCATTACAAGCCTGGAACGGGACGCCGTGAAACGACATCCACACTGTGTCTTCTCTTCAAGAAGAGAAGCACTACTTACTTCTTGTGTGAGTCTTCTTGTGAAGAAAGGATTCAAATACTTGGCATCAAACCACATAAACCCTTTGAGGTCTTGGCGTTTTATGTACTGGGCTTCATACTCCTCCTCCGTGAGTTCTGACAAATGTTCCGATTCTATGGTATTCCCCTAGAATAAAAACACAGAAGTACTGGAATAACTACCAGAAATAGAGCAGCTGTTCCCTTCAGTTTGCTTCAACCCACTCTGCTCTCTCCCTTCCCAGAAATGATTCCCATACTGCAATAAAATGGAAATTATCCCCTCAGCCTACCAAGGTTTCTGGCTGTATGAATCTTTCCAGTTGTTGATTCCCAGATGCACTTCCCTTTTCACACTGAAAGCCAAAAAGGCTTCAAACGTTCCTTATTTTGTATTTGTTAGCACTGCAGAGAGCAGAAATTTCTAGTGCGTAGGTTTTCTCTCTCCTGTGAGCTGAACAATGTGTTCACCCAGCAAGCAACAACCCTTCCATGGCATTGTCCAGGTGACTGCTGACTCTCATGCTGAAAACAAGCCCTGTATCCAAACAGGCCACATCACTGTGGCCTTCCCATGCATGTTTCCCTAACTTGGGCAATAGGCCTAAGTTAATTCCAAAACCTGGGAGGGTCTTTCATGCCAAAAGGAGCTGTTCTTCACACCCTGTAGAACAATGCCCTGCACATATTGCTTGATGGTTTGGAGAAAAAGAGACAAAGAAGGTGGGATTCTGAGTGCACTCCTGCCTTTAGCACAGGAGGTTTCAGACTGGCTGTTTTCTGCAGTACTTCTGCTTAGCCAAGAACCATTTTAAACTAAAGTCTAACTCAGAGGGATGCTGTTAAAACCTCCTTGCGGCTTTTGACTTTTTCAAAATATTTTTTCCCTGCCCTTTATGAAAAATGCATGACTCATAATGTATGAGCTATCTTCCCTCTATGTGTGACTCAACCTATCCTGTATCATCTGCTCTATGTTTTTGCAGGAGTTACACTAATTCCTACTGATCAATTTATAAATATATTGATTTAGAGTCATTCACTTAGTTCTAAACACAACTACTTGTGTAAATACTAACTAAGCTCTGTCTTTGCAGATTTTTAAAATGACAGCCCTTAATTTTCTCTCCGCTCTGGTCCCACTGCTTTCACTTTACTTTCCAGTAGGAAATAACCCTAAGTTTTTACTATGAACTGGTCTTTTCTTTGAAAAGGTAAAGAAATAACATCAATAATCCACTGAATAGAAGAGAAACAAACCATCTTCTCTGTCTTGCTAAGATTAATGTCCTTCTTGTTCCTCCTGCGTGCTTTGGAGTCCTCGATGTCAATCAGTCTGATGAGGGGCATGGTTCCTCCCCCCAGCAGCAGGATTGTGAACAACACAATGATGATGGTTGTAGTGCCAATGAGCTGCCTCTTCTCTATTGGCTCCAAGCCCAAATGGAGGCTGAGGGCATAAGGAATTGCGCCACGTAAACCTTATCAGGGAGAATAATAAATCAGTGAAGAGCCAGGCAACATCCACATTGATCCTGCACACCCCGTTACCTCACCAGGATTCCTCTAACTTTAAGGATATTTAGGGTCCTATACCGTAACCATTTCTGTATTGTTTGGTCACCACCCTAAAATGAATCACAGCTCTTCAAATATTAATCTTTTCAAACCACAGTGTGTTTAGATCTATAAAGAAATTAGCTTAGTTGCAGAAAAGCTGTAATTAGAATCTATATGATATGGCCCTCCAGCGCAAAGGGGAAATAATACTGATCTGTCGCATTTGGGTTTGAGAATGGCACAAATGTTGAACTGAGTTTTGCTCCACAGATGGAAAATTATACCCTGTCAGTGTAGCTGACACAATGAAAAACCCGAAACATTTTAATGAACCTTTTGAGGTTTAACTCACCACTAAACCACATAATAAACATCATCTTGGGAGTGATTTTATGATCACGGAAAAAGTTGAGTAGGTAGGAAAGTGGGAAAATGTTCACAGCTCTACCAAAGAGAACAAGTACCTGAAAAACAAAAACCAAAGGCAAAGGTTATTTGACGCATTACCTTCATTCAGGCCCCAGCTGCATCTGGCTTGTGCAGAGCAAAGTGGATACGCCCTTATCACACAAAGCCTCATGCACAGACATGCTGCTAAGTCACACAAATAAATCCCCCAGTATAGGTCAGTGTAGAATTGAATGTTATAAACATTTAGTCTGCTTAACTGAAATGAAACCAGACATGTTACTGACAGAGACCAGACACTGTTTTACTTATAACCAGTAAACAAAACCCAAGAGGCATTCTAAGGAGACAAAGAATTACCCTGGGTACAAGTTTTACTCAGTTCAGCTCCTTTAATCATTCTCTTGGCATCGTGGCCAAGGGAATTTGTATTGTCTCCCTATGGACCAGTTCCTCAGAGAAGAAGGCCAGAAGCCAAACAAGGAATGTGGAATGCAGTCCCTCCTCATGAGTACCTGGGTATGGTTATAAAATACACCAAAACATGCAGGTAACTCTGGCTGGGGTCAAATATTATCGATTTGATGGAAGGAAAATAACAAGCACAGCAAAAGCTAACTCAGGCAGGTAGAGTTCTTTACAGTGACATTGCTTTGTAAACTCCACCACAAACAGACCTTGAAAAGGTAAATATCCTAGAACAGGTTACCAGCATCCTTGTAGGGCTGTGTCATTTTCATCTAGGAATCACCCCCAAATTATTCTGTTTGCATTATGGCTGCAATGGCAATGCTACATAGAAGGAAGTGTCACACCTTAGCTATATATTAGATAAGGATGTTGGGTACATATGTGCAATGCAATAAGAGCAGTTCCCCATGCTGATATGCTGATACCACTAATCTGTGAATAGTAGGGAACAATTCTTCTCTTGAACCATGGACTGAAACGTGCTAACTATATGTTCCTGTAGGTGCCTGGAAGTGGTCTCATACTGTAGCAGATCTAATAAGCTCAAAATTAAGAAGGGTCGTCTTCTTATTTTTAATAATCTTATGCACAGGCTTCAGAATAACAGCACACTGATTTCTTAAAGAATGCTGCTATATATGTACACCAAAGTGCTGAGAATAAGAAGAGAACAATGATTTCCTGCTATTAGTGAGGATGAACTAAGATGGGTTCAGTATTCAGTGAGAAAGATTCAGTATTTTCTCATAGCAGTATAAAAATATTTTCATACAACGCTATAAAACATCCTGAAATATTTTAAGTGTGAGAATTTTTTTACCCCATGAATACCAAAAAAAAAAAAAAAAAAAAAAAAAGTAAAAAAGTATCTAAACAAGTTTGGAGGGAAGTAAATACTCACTATGCACCAGATGACAAAGGACATTTCAAACTTGTGAGGAAAACTAAAAATTGACAGGCCAAGAAAAGCAAAAACACACGTTTCTGAAAAACAGAGAGCATTTGAAATAAGCAATTTAATCAAACCATTTCTACTCCTATAATAAATTACTAAATATACTGCATAAAAAATATATTTTCTCATTTTTGGATGTACAAAATAAGCAGCAGTGGTATTTTACAACAGGCCAGATTCTCCCACTTTCACTGTCAGTGGACATCACCTTATATGTAGGCATTTTTTTTTTTTTAAGTTTTAAATTGCTAATGAGTAAGAGCAGAGAGAGAGCAAAACCTTGTTCTTGAAAAGAGGAATTTTTTTTTGCTTGAAGAATATAGGCCAAGCTCCAGAATACACTTGAGCTGAAGGACTGAGTACCTACTATTGCCATTGCAGAATCTCCCAGTGAGGATCCTTCCTAAAACCATTGCACTGGTAGCTGTCCTAGCAAGCTAGATTCCTTATTATAAAGACTGTTACAGAGAGGAAGCTTTTGGATAGACAGTAGCAAACAACTGAATAACCAAGTTACCCCATCTTAACACTTTATTGCTCTTGGTTTGGGTGCTAGTTAACTTACATTTGCATGCTCAAAGCCTGATGCAGATATACAAAAAATTACAGAGTAACTCTTTTACAGTGATTTGAATGAATATGCCTTTTTAGTATTTGTAACACATAAAAGTAAAAACCTGATGAGCTACTGGTGCTCAGAGGAGTGGTTAAATTTAGTCTGCAGCAGTGCTACTTCTTTTCCACGCTTCAAACCCAAGCAACTTTTTACCAAAAGTGGAATACTTTTATGGCACTCACTAAGAAAATAAGGATATATTTGTAACACAAACTCATGTCATTTCTTTTAAAAGTTTGGCTCATAAAAGGAAGTGGAAAAGCTATATGGCCCTGAGCTGTTTCTATCGCTACTTCTACAAAAAATCTTCTCATTTTCTGAAGATATTATTTTTGCAAGTGGCATTTTAATATCCCAGCTCAGTTAAAACCATGGCTATATCCCATCTCCTACCACTAAAAATAGGCCAGAGGGAGAAAGGAGTCAGAGAGATCTATTTGATTATCAATCTTGTGGCAAATCTTAGCAGGAGCCTGCAGGATGGAAGAGGGAGAAGATTTACTGTATGTTCGATGTTGTGTGGCAGGAAAGGTGACTCCTGACTGCCTCCCAGGCTCCTCACCAGGGAGTCTTCTGCTGAAGACATGAACCACTGACAAAAACTGCTAGAGGAAAATTCACTTCCCTTGCTGCCACCAGAACCACCACTTCATGCAAACTGTTTTTAAACTACTATTAAACAAATGCTAAACAAAGCACTTACCACACATGAAAGCAACAGTTCTCAGTGTCTGCTGCATTAAAATCTGTGTAACTGGGGACAGATTATGATGTGTGTAGTGGGACATCACGATGCCAGAGAACAGGATTGCCATGATACCTGTAGAAGCAACATGGTAATCAGCAAAAGAAGAATACCTTGTATCCTGCAAACACTCCTGGTGTTAATAACCCCTACCAACACAGAAGTTCATGAAGATATGAGTGAGGCTTCTTACCATGTACTGGTCTCATCTTCCTGGTCATGTAAATACCAGGAGATCCAAAATAGGTCACGTGCATACTACAATAAATCCCCGTTATGTCATGTTTTCCCACAAAAATGGGCAAAATAATCTAAAATCTTGAGTGTTTCTTTCTGTCTTTCATTCTCCTAACAAGATAGGAAGGTGAGATCAAAAGAGGACTAAAAGCAACCAGAGAATTGCTAGAAGGATTAGAATAAATAACTGAGATGCGCTCAGAAAAATCCTTTTTCTAAAATAAAGTGGTAATTTGACAAAAGTTCTTTAAAGCTTGTATTCCTTAAGAACTCATTCTTGAGGGCATTTGAGCAAATTAAGGAGCTTGTCCTTACAAATTAAAAAACAAAGGACCCCGAATTACCTAAGAGTAACCAGGTAGGGAACTTACCACAAATTCTTGTTGGTTATGTATCAAAATGCAAGTATGTTGCTTGTATAGTATAATGGCATGGCAATTGTATAACATTATAATTTTAGATTTACAAGAAATACAAACTATAAATAAAAAAGCCATGTTCTGAGGCATTCAGGTATTATGCTGACAACTCTAGAATAATCTTCTTACAGGCAAAATCCATTTTTGTAAATGTACAAATATAAAAACACATCAAGCTATTTGCTCCAATTTCAGGTATTGTTGCCACTTCCAGTATATGTGTTGGCCTACACACATAAACAGAATAGCTTGGGTGCAGGTGGGCAGAAAGGAATGCTTGCATTAGCATTATACATCCTGATTGGGTAACGACCGTAATTACAAGACACATCTTTATACATACAAAAAAATACGACTCCACTGGCTTCAGTGGAGGAATGCTGATACTTCCTACTCTTCAAACTATAGATAATCCCAACTACAGAATCCATTTCAAAATATCCCTGCTAGTGCACATGCACATTTTAGAACGTTAATTTCATACCTGCGGATCATTTACAAGAAATCTAATTCTGCTACTATGCCTCAGAAACTAGTAACATTATATAAACTTGCAGAGCAAATATCTTTTAATGCACTTAAAAAAGCCCTCCTCCCCCCAAACTGGATCCAAAGAGATGTCTGAGGTGTTTAAATCATGCTAAGTGTTGCATTGTTTCCCGTTTCCCTTTATGAACAGCTGTGGAAGGAGACAGGAAGCAGACTGCCTTCAAAAACCAATTAAGTCAAGAGAGGTCAGAGATGAGCATCCGGCAGAACTGGATCCTGTTTTTGGACTTGATTTTACAATTTGTCAGACAAAAATCCCCCCTAAGCCTCTTCTCCTGCCTCTGCAGCAAAACTTCTACCTTGTACAGAGAGATAATTACAAATCCTCGTGGCCTCAATGAAATTTTTCCAGTGGCATTGAAGGATGGCCGGAAAAATGTCTGCTAGAAAGTAGGCCAGGTTTTACCTAACCTAGCCAAGATGTGGCAAGGCCTGCAGTGTGCAACTGTGATTCTTCTTCTGTGAAAGGCAGAGGTAGCTGGGGAGAGGAGCTTTCTATTCATTTTGCTACTCACCTGACAGTGAGATACCTTCTGCAAGCCCATAAGGGAGGTAAGCAAAGATAATCATCATGCCAAACTCCAGAGAGGGGGTCTTCCTTAAATCAATGTGCTTTAGCACGTACATACGAAAACGTTATGGAAAATATAAGCAAAAAGCATCCAAAGAAAAATTTAAATATATGATATTTTGATATATATATAAAATACATATATGTACAATTCTATTATGAACCTCTCATTAGGTTTAACGTACTTATCTAGTGAATAGCTGAAAAAGTTTACAAATTCACCTATGAATCAGGTGTGGCAACATTCATATTTTATTAATGTTTTTTCTGGTAGAAGTCCATCAGCAAGGGCAGACCTAGACACAGAAGAGTTCTGTTACCAGCATACGTATATGATGCTGGTAACAGCAGGCCAAAGTTTGTTTGCATCTAGAAGGGCCACTTCCCTATACTTTCAGTCTTTGAAATGGCCAGATGACCAAATAAGGATCCATGTCCATAAAGAAGTGAACTGATTGCACCAAAGAATGCTGCAGAGAAACCACAGAGAGTCATTAAATGGCAAAGGCTTTTTTAAAAATAGGTGAGAGCTACGGAACAGCAACTTGAAAATGAAATAACTCTCACCTCTGCTTCAACAGACCTTCCTTTTGATACCAGCCATGAGCTGAGCTAAATCCACTGTGTTTATGTTCGTACTCACAAGTGCAGACACTTGTCAAGGTTTGCAAATTCTATTACTTTGCATCTTATGCAGGCCACTGCAGCACAGCTGCCAAATAGGAGGAGGCAACTTTGCCTCAGACAAATATTTGCCACACTAACCATGCAAATAATCTATTCTCTTCAGTCACTACATTTTAGGTACTTCCAATGGATAAGACATATCTGCAATAACATTCACAGTGAGGAAGCACATTCACATATTCCTTGAATCACATCCTTATGTCAACTCTTAATCTACTTAACCTAACATCTCTGTAAGGATTAGATGCCAGTGACATGGAAGTTCAGATTCCACCTGGTCATGAGCCAGCAAACTTCAATCATATTTATCTGCCTGCAACTACTATAGATTTCTTCTTCTTCATAGAAATTTAGCATCGTTGTGGTAAGTCTAATACTATAAGGCACAAATAATAAACATATATAATCAAGGCAAATAAACTGCCTTTCTCTTTGGTTTTATATTACTCAGATATCAGTGACTCACTCTCTTGTTGAGAATTTAGAAGTTCTAAAGTTCATTCTAAAGAACCAAGAGGGTGAACATGTCTGCATTTATGTAAATAAACTGTTGTTCTTATTTACAAACATCGTGCTTAACAGCACGTTCCAGATCACTTGAATATCTGTTACACAAGCCTAGCATAAAAAATACCTAGAAAGAATTCTGTGCTAACATTAACGCAAGCTTTCAAGAGTAACAAAGGTATCTGACAAATATCCTTCCTTAACGCATTACAGAAGCTTTTTGGGTTGTTTAGCAACCAATTTATGCAAGCAGAAGCAAAAAGATATAACTCATTGTAAATCCAAATCAGTGGTATCTGTATGCAGATATGCAGAAATATACAGGCTTGATTCAAAGGACTGCATTTTTTTATTTTTATTTTTAATGTTTTTAAAGTGTTCTATATGTGAAACAAGAGCCACACACTTAAGATCAGCATATTGAAAAGAAATTAACATATTCAGAAAACAACTTCTCTAGGAATAGGAACTGCTGTACAGCATTTCAGACTTGAATTATGTTCATACACCCATGTGCACTAACATAAAAACAAAATGAGCATGACAAAACACTCAGTCAACCTCTAAGAAACACTGGAGAATGTGGGAACAAAAAAAAATACTATTAGAACAGAGTTTGCCAATTTGTGTGTACCACATTACCAAAATTTTAAAAAAGGATATTAATGCAGAAATAAGGCCAGTAAGTGTGCCAAGTGCTGCAGAGCCAAAGAACATCTTAAGAAAGTATCCCAGCGCCTGTAGAAAGGTTTGCCATCCGCTTACATCTGACATATTTTCTCTTGTCAAACCTTCTGCTGTGCTGGAAATGTTTAAAAAATAAAAAGAAACACTTATGAATTCTAAGTCTGGATATAAGCCAAATACCCTTCACGAGAGAAATAGAAGGACTCCCATTTCTGTGTTGCTGACAATCCTAAATGGGTTTTACTGTGAAACGTATCAGGAGAGGAATGTCAGATGATGTTAATCAAGTCCTGGTGTAATCCCCAAAGGGAAACCCAATTCTGCCCAAAATATTGCTCATTTGAAGAAACCTCCAGTGGTGAAGGCAGGCTATGATAACTCTCAATATTACAAAACCATTTTAAAGCTTTCAAAAAGGAAAAAAAAGAATGTTTTGCGGTGATGAAAAGTCAGCCCAAGAAAATGTAGAGAGATCCTTACAGGACAAACATATAGGAAGACCTCTCTTCAAATATTTAAGTATGGGTAAGAGAATGGAAGGTCACTAGATAAAACGAAAGATGATCTGGAGGGGAAAGGGGAAATTGTCCATGGTCTTCCATAGAAAGACCTAAAATTGTATTACTTAAGAAACAAATGGCTCCTTGAAAAATGACTCTGCAACCTCACTACCTTCTTATTCAGTAGCTCTGCTCCTTGTAAACATACATAGTGACATGTCTAGACTTCATTAAGAACATGAAGATACATCTGCATTTTTTCCACTCTTTCAGCCCCGAGGAATTATCACAGGTAAAGGAAGAGGATATGGGATGTTCTTCTTTCCTGTGGCCTCAACATAAATATTTAAGAAAGTTCCTATTGCATATAGATTTCAATGTATCCCCTCAAACTGAAGTGTGATTCTAGGGATAAGGCAATGATGAAGGAACTACACCTGCTTATTTGTTTAGGAAAATATTTTTCTGCGAGCTTGAAGTGACCATCTTGGTTTTCACTTGTCAGGCTACTCAGATGGAAGGAGAGCTAACAAACTTATTAACCTGCAAAGCAACCAATTCCAACCTGGGATCAATAAGATAGGGCACTGAGAAAGTTTCAGAGAGACAGTTATTCACTGTCTTCTGCCTATTCCATTTATGTTAGAAAGGAATGTTCTGCTTGTAACTAAGAAGGATCAATATCAAAGCTCAGCTTTAAGCCAGAAGCCCATGATTTGTTGCAACTGCAGATTGAAAAAACATTTGAATAATGTAACTAACAGAAAAGAGTGTCTTTGCAGACAAAATCTGAACTACATGTGTATTTAAATGAACTTACTTGGTCAAGACGATAGAGACTGCATCATTGAGAATGCTTTCTCCAAAAACCAACATGTTAAGTACTGGATCCACATTGAGGGCATTGAAAATGGCAATAGTAGCCACTGGATCAACTGCAGATATTAAAGAGCCGAATGCAAAACTGGGAGAACACAAAACAAAACACAAAACTAGAGGACAGAAAAATATGCACCTAATAAATTTACATTATCAACATGAACAACTACTAACACAGAGTATGTATTATTGAGTTCATAAACATTAGTTGAAAGTTCTGTTCTCTTCCCACTCTTAAGAACTTGAAGTGACAAATGTTTTTTTTTTTTTAATTTACAGATATATCAAAAAAATATTGTCCAAGTGGGAGAGTAGTTTGAGAAATATTTATCTCTTAACTCTCGACAGCAGTACCAATGTCTTGTTACAACTGAATAAGAAAAAACAAACAACTTTATAGACAAAGCCTAAACAATGTATCACACACGCATAGTGTCACCTGCCGAGGAGTATTAGAGTGTTTCACCTACACGAAACGGTTAAAATTTCATTACTCTGGAATCCAATGACAGACAATACAGAAGCAATGGGACCTCTCTGCTGCATAAAGCCAAATGTTGGAGCCAAGCAATGAAGACTTTCGCTGTTCACGCATGCTTTACTTATTCTGTTCCTTGCTTGTTACCCAAATTATTTATGAATTTTAACAGAAAAACACTGTACTCGGCTGTGCAATAAACAGACAAAACAATTCCCTATAGGTTGGTGTACTTCTAGAAAACTGATTAGATACTTTGCAAAGTTCTTGAAAAATTTACACCATTTGTATTAAAAACAAAGTCCATCTTTTCAGAGAAGATTTGGATTTGCGAGTCATCCCTTTATGATATAGTCTAATAATTCCAATTAATTAAAGCTAGCATATTTAAACTTTGAGGCTAATTAAAAACCAAGCATGTTTACATTCTGGAAGAGAATCACTTAGCACAAAACACTACTTGGTAGTAAGATTGTCAGTGTCAGGCTCAGAAACGTCAGGTCCATTTAATAGTTTCATCTGCCACGTCAAACCTAAGCAATTCGAGCACTACCCAGAACAGCTGGCCAGCTGCAGTGCACATCCCACCTACAGTGCTTTTTGATGTGTGCTTCATTTGATATAGACCACACCATTTCACCAGAAGCTTACCTGTCTGTCATGTTAAGTTTATAAATTACATCAGCCTGAAAGAATAGGCAAAACATAAATTAAAATCAGCTATGTGTTTCTCTCTCTCTTTTTTTTTTTTTTTTTAAATACTTCACCAAATCTAGGTCTATTGTGAGGGGAAAAAATCATAAAAGTGGCTTTAGTATATCCTATGTAACATTGTCCTCTAGCAGTGATCTGTTACAACTCTGGTCACCAGATTCAGGAGAGTCCAGATGAAACTGGAACAGATACAGGTGAATAGAGTAACAGAGGTTTTCACAGGAATGGTCATCTGGAAAAACAGGGAAATAGGAAAGCACGGATTGTTCTGCCTAGGTGATATCTACTAGAAGACACAATTATCTGAGTCTATAACTAATCAAAGGGGAAATACCAAAGAGGATACCACCGTGCTACAGCAAACTGCTGGCATAATAACAAATAAGCTTAATACTAGGAATCTGATTATGGCTTTTAACACTTAGAGAAATCAACTTCTGGAACAGCCTTCTGATTGAAAGACCAGGGAATTAAAAATGTCAAATTCAGCTCAAGCTTTACTTGCTTTTAACATGGAATAAGATATATCCATGGAGGGCTTTATACGATGGTACCTCTATAATAGCAGAAAATTGGATTTGAGGACTCAGGGACTCATTTTCACTGGTTTTTCCTACCTGGACTTTAAAACAACAATTGACTTTCAAGGACAAGCTGGATACACATATGTGCTTCTAAGCAGTTTTTCCTTACCTGGCCAAGAAAATAAATTCCTCCACCTACAATGAAAGCTGATATTGCTGTGCCAAATACAGAAAATAGAGTGATGGAACCTATGTTCTGAAAAAAATTACCCTGGAACACAAAAATAAAGTAAATTAGTAAAAACAAATGGACGGAGGAACAGTGTTTAGACTCTGCATCTGTACAATTCCATCCAAATTAGATTCTGATTCGCAACTGGGTTTCAGAAATAATTAAACCTTAGTTTGGTTCCAGGTATTCCCATATGTATAGCTGCACCACCTGCCTAGAGAGATTGCTCTTTTGAGGACAGCAAATGAAAAGGCCTCGCTTAGTGAGGACCAAAACCCCTTCAGCCAGGACTACCACTGCAAGAAAAGCCCATGTATGCACAGCTGCTCAGGCAAAAGGTGAAAATCCTGGCACACATTGTCACCGTGCCGCTTCTTTAGGCACAGAATGACCCCAACTTTCCCATGTGTGCCAGCTCCTTCCCATTTTGCCTGTTTCACATCAGCACTCGTGCAGCTCTGCTGAGGTGACAAACTGCTTGACCAGGGAAAATAACCTCTGCTGCAGCACGTGAGCTAGCTGCAGTACTGCTAACTGAAAGCAGATTCTGTTTCAAACAAAACCGCAGCGTGTTAAATGAGTGTATAGCAAAGACTAACCTTGTGCAATGAATATCCAGATTCAAATATAATAGGTGGAAGTAAAAGCAGAAAAAACATATTTGGACGAAACATTTCTTCTTCCTGCAAAACAAAAATAAAGTATAATTTGAAGGATATCATGACAGCATCAAACCTTCCCAAGGAGATTTTTTTCTTTTTTTAAAAAAAAAAACAAACTACATTGTAAAATGAAAATTACATTAATATTTCTTTTTTTATGGTAAAAGACTGCAGAATAGCAAACCATTTCAAGACTTTTTTTTTATTCAGTGATAGAAAACCAAATGTTACTTATTTTAAATTGCTATTCTCAAATAAAAACACTTCTGTGCAGCTTATTTTCCTACAAAAGGTATTCCCATTTTACTGCACACTCTCAAACCTATAAGGATTGTCAAGGAAAGGTGACCTCTTGGCAACTGATCTGAATATAATCTAGCTTAACTGCGATCAAATACAGTTTCACTAAGATTAGTTTCAGCTAATCAGTGGACTAGAAGAAATCAGATCACCGCCTTAGTATACTTGCAAGTGAACAGGCTCAACATATATAATACTATAAGGCTCAGAGGCTTGATTCTTCTTGGTAAATGTAATTTATGACTGTAACTTAGTGTGATTCTTCTGATGGTTCCTTTTTTACCAGCAGAGAGATATAAACGAGGCCTAATGCAAAGCAAGATTGCATTTCTGGGGGGAGGAATCTTCCTCTCCACTGTTTACCTCATCGCTGGGCCATTAGTGCTTTATAAAGTCATACCACCAAACTGGCCCCCTTCTTACTGCTGCTGCTGCCCAGGAGGCAAATTCAGCAACCCAACGTGGTTGGCAAATTCAGGCCCAAAGTGTCTCCTGTTACCAGCCACGTTCCCTCCCACCGCACGGGGCTGGACACGGCAGGACTTGTCACCTGAACAT